CCCTGCCCCGCCGCCGGCAGCTCGCCTGCACAGCGCGCGGCGCCCGCCGCAGCCCAAAACAGGCGGTTAGCTCAGCGCCATGCCGGCCAAAGCCTTGCCGCCGAGGGCCAGAGCTGTCGGCTGCTCCAGGAGACAGGCGCAAGGCCGCAGCGCCCCTGGCGGCAGCCCGCAGGCATGGCAGCAGGTGCATGCATGCACGCAGGCGCGGCTGACGTGGCGCGCACCCGAGGTGGCGGCCGCCAGGTCATCGTCCTGCTCCTCCTGCTCTGCCTCCATCTCCTCCCGGATGATGTGCATCACCCGCCGCACAATGTTGCCGATCACCAGCTCTGCAGCGGCGCGGCAGCGGCGGAGGACAGGGCGCCGGTGGCAACCGGGCGCGCGGGATGCCAGAGGGGCGCCGGGGAGGCAGCGCTGCGATGCGGCAGGAGAGCCAGGGCGGCGAGCAGTGCAGCTGCAGGCCGCGGCTGCACCATACATGCGCCCGCACCTATGGGCTTGGCGGCCTGTATCCGGAGCCCCACTTTCTTGACCTCCGCCAGCATCAGCTCCGGGGTGTTGAGCTTGGAGGAGGTGACCAGCTGGCGCAGCAGCTCAGCGGTGCCCTTGGCCGCCGCCAGGCTGCCGTCGATGCGGCGGTCGGTGAGGCGCGTGCAAAACGCCTCCACGCGGCTGCTGAAGGGCAGCGGCCCCGACATGGCGCCTGCTGCTCCTGACGCTAGCTGCGGCCTGCCGTCGGTGCTGCGGGCCCAGTTCCGGCCCTCCTATGGCGAAGCCACGGCGAGCAGCAACCTGCAGCAGCGAGGAGCGGCAGCGCCAGGCGGCTGAGCAGTGCCTCCGCTTCCACAGCGCGGCGCATGCCGGTGCGCCCTGGCCTTGTGCTCGTGAAACCTGGTTGCAAGAGCCGTAGGAGCAGCTGTGAGCTCACCAGCAGCTGTACACTTTTGTCGCCGGGTGAACGCCTACTCCTGCTGCCGAGTCCCTGAGAACAGTGAGGGCGTCACGGCAGCCAAATGGCGACGCGGATGGCGCTGCAGAGAGGAGGGGCCGATCAGCACGCGAGAAGAGAGACAGAGGTAGTGCAGGCGCGCACGATGCCCTTGAGCGGCTCGATGACCACCTCCGCAAAGGCGTCCTCATTAACAGTCGTGCCGCCCCCCGACTTTCCACAGGCCCGCCGCCGCCACCACCGCCCGCCCTCATGAACTCTGGCAGTACTTGCCTTGGACAGTTGGATAACGCTTACAGCCCTGCTGCATTTTTGCTGAGCCACCAACACAAGACAATGAGATGCCACAACACAGCCACCCGGAACAGGCAGCTGCCGTCAAGCAGGCGGCACAGCATCTCGTCAGCGGATGCCACCAGGCGCGCCAGCTTACGATACCCAGCAGCAGGCCCTCCCTCTTCGTCTCCCCTTGGTGGCCTCAACTGGTAGGCAGACACCGAGCCAAGAATGGGCAGGACGATGCCCACCACTAAGTGCAAGAAGGAAAGCGTGGCGCTGCATGTGCTCATAGCATCTGCAGGGGGATGACAGGTACTGGACGGCTGGCTCATCATGGCCATCCCATCAGCCAATGCATCACACGTGTTGGGGCTACGCCAGCCCCACCCACCTGTCGCGTTGCCCGAGGATGGCGTTAACGTGAGGTACACCGCAGGAGGCTGCACTAGAAGGGCCGGCAGCGCCAGGACGTCGAGGCCGGCGGCAAGGAGGGCCAGGCGCTGCTGCGTCAGGGGCGCCGACAGCAGGCGCGTGGAGCAGTAGCCCTGACTGTTGTGTATGAGGGCAGCCATCACGATCTGAGTGAGGCAAGTGCTGGTCGGCCTCAGGCCAAAAATGGCAGGTGTGAGGGCCATCCACAGCAATCGTGTGCCTGCGGCAGCGCAGCAAAAAGGCAGTGGTTTGGGCCAGGCATTGCATGGAGATGCATGCTGCTCGCCGGTTGTGCACCATGCCAGCACACGCCATGGGCAGCCGCCACATGCCTGCCCTGACCTATTACCACAGCTGCCAGGTCAGCAGCGGCGCCCGGGATGCCCGGCCAAGGGGCGCGCTCCAGCATCAGCGCAGAGCCCACGCCTATGCGCCGGTTGGATGGGACTGCGGATGTGATGAGGCGGAAGGCTGGCAAGAGGCATTGCCTGCAGCGCAAGAAGAGGGCCTCGCATCGGTGATGTGAATGGAGGCACCGACAAGAACAAACTCTGTTGCAGCCACCTCTGCGGCTAGGCGGAAGAAGGCACGCAGGTTGCGTCATCAACAGGCTGGCAGGCGGACCTGTTGGCCCAGTAGAATGCAGGGAACCTCAGGATGAGCATCATCGCGACGGCGGTGAGGGCCAGAATCGTGAGGGGCAGGGCGACGCCGGCAGCGCCCGCGTGACGCAGGTGGGACAGCACAACCGCGCACTGCCCCAAGACTGCCACAACAGCTGCCACCCTGTGCAGCTGGTACGCAGGAGGGAGGGCAGGCCTTGCAGCCTGCAACGCTCTTATGTGGTCGGTGCCAGGACGTGTAGAGGGGGCGGCGGCAGCAGGCGGGGCGCCCGACTCCTGTCCCGGGGGGCCAGCGGGTGAGGCCCACCAGCCGTCTCCATAGGTCTCCATGGACTCAGCAATGTCGCAAGCGAGAGAGGCGGGCTTTGGGTGCAAAAACGTCTGGCGGCCGCTCTGACGTGGGCGTAGCAGCTCTCCAGGCAGAAAATATGCACACAGACAATTGTCGAAAGTGATTGCGGGGACGTCTCTCGCTTGCTGAACAGCAGGCCCGCTCGCCCGTACTCTGCGTTGTACACAGAGCGCTGGCCATGCTCTCCAGAGCTGCAGGAGCGCATAATGTGACAAGATCGTGCTAAATGATAAAAGACGCTGCCAGAAGCACAAAGGGAGGCAGCCCCGCGGTCATGCCCCCGCTCGCCCGAGCTTGCCCCGCTGGCAAGCAGCTGCTGCCGCGCCTGTCCTCGGATTGCGTCTGACCACACACTTCGTGTTCTTGCATGCAGCTTGCTTCGAGCAAAAGTTTGTGGGGCAGGACACTGCCAGCAGCGGAGGTGAAAAGGATGCAGTGCTTCCGAGCCAGGCTGCTCACGGGGGCGCCCGGGACAAGACAGCCACCGCACTCTCTCAAACATTGCTCCCATGCATTGCTCCATGCATTGCTTCGCCCTCCTGGCCCCTCTAACCGCCGCCATCACCAGCAAAGCATGCACCGAACGGCAGCCAACGCCAAAGATCATGCAGCAGAGGGAGGTGCCATCTTGGAAGCGGCGGTCGATCGTACTCCCAGTTTTGGGTGGGGCTGTTTTCTCATCAGCTGCCCACGACAGATGGTGGCTGATCCAAACTGATTTTTCTTGTTTCTGTGCCTGATCACAGGCAGCAGGGTTGTGCAAACAGATGCAATAGCCCGGCCGTCGCCGTCGCTGCCTGCCCTGCCTTGACCCTCTTGTCGGTTGAGGTGCAGCGCCTGCTGCATTTCCTGAGCAACAACGAATGGAATGCTCTTTGAAAGGTACTGAAGTAACGCAGGATGATGGTGGTGGGGTCTTGACGGCATGCACGCACCACGGGGCGAGCACATGGGAGGTGCCGGCGCCACACACTGAACGCCCAGCACTCGCTCGGTGGCGGGCTCAGCTGCTTCCGCCCGCCGCTGCAGCCGCCGCCGCATCGCCGCCGCCTGCCGCCGCCGCCGCCTGCTGCTGCTGCTGCTGCCGCTCCTGCTGCTGCTCCTTCTCGTCTGAGCGCTCCACCTCCTGCAGCGCGCCGCGGATGATGGCCTCCCACTTCTGCAGGGAGGCGGGCAGGCAGACGGGCGGGCAGGCGGGCGGGCATCGGTGTGTGAGCAGGCCGGCCTGGAGGTTTCGAACGGGGTCCCGGGGAGGGGCCCTCCACCCCCACCTGACCCCACTCTCCCCCCACGCGCTCCGAAAGGCTCCTCCTGCCCTTCCAGCACGCGTGCAAGGCTCCAGCCACCGCCAACCCAGCCCAACCAGCGTCGCCCCGGCCTCGCCGCGCGGCCGCACCTGCGGGATTTTGACGGCTCCAGAGGTGGCATCCACCCTTGCAGGGGCGGGGGCGATGGCGAGCGTCTCGCCCTTGGCCAGAGCCTCCAGCAGCGCCTGCGGGTGGGGGTGGGGGGTGGAGCACACAAGGGAGCTGAGGGAGAGCGAAAGGGAGAGGGAGAGGAAGAGGGGAGGCACGCCGCGGGCTGCCCCGGCGCCTGGTGCCACCCACTCTAGTGCAACGCATGCCAGGCATGTCCACCGCGGCGGGGCCGCCGTCCCGCACGCGGCCAGCTGGCACCGGGCACTCACCGCCTTGTCGCCGCCGCCGCCCACCGCGCCACGGCCCGCGTTTGAGAAGCCGTCAAAGTCGACGCAGCGGGAGGGGTCTGTGGGGTAGCGGCGCTGGCAGAAGGTCATGAGGCGCTTGAGGGCCTGGATGAACTTGCGGGTGGCCTCGTCGTTCATGATGTGCGCCTGCCGGGGGGTGGGTGGGTGGGTTGGGGGGGCAATGGTGGGAGGCCGTGTGCGCGCGTGTGTGTGGTGTGTGTGTGTGGTGGTGTGTGCGTGCGCGCCCTCAGGCAGGGCCGGCCGCCGCCCCCGGGCGCCCGCTCACCACCGCGGAGCTGTAGCCCAGGCGGATCTTCTCGCGGGCGGAGCGCTCGTGCAGGCCGACTTGCGTGACGCCGATGGGCCAGGCGGCGTTGCCGATGGACACGCCCATGTAGATCTGTGGTGGGGTGGGTGTGGGTGTGGGTGTGGGTGGTGTTGGGTGTGGGTGTGAGGGAATCGAGGGGTGGAGGGAGGCGTGCAGCGCGGGTGGCATGCAGGCTGCGCTGGCACTGGAGGGGGGCGGGGGAGGCGGCAGCGCCAGCCGCCTGGCCAGCCCCAAAGCACGCCGAGGCAGCCAGCCCTCCACCCCACATACACACGCCCCCCCACCCCCACCCACACCTCGTACGCGGCCAGGTAGTTGCGATCCTTGCAGTGCTCCACAATCATGACCAGACCCGCCAGCAGGCTGGGGTCTGCGGGGGACGCGGGCAGAAGAGGCAGGGGGAGAGGGACGGGGTGTCAGCATGAGCGCACGGCAGAAGCTGCGGGATGCGGGCCGGCCGGCAGGCAGGGCGGCACCACGGCAGCGCAAGCCCATGCGCTGCTGCAGCAGCAGCAGCAGCAGCAGCAGCGCCAGCAGCAGCTGGCCCCAGCGGGCAGAGCGCGGGCGCACCCAGCGAGCGGTTTTTGAGGCGGGAGTAGAGCGGCTTCAGGTACTGCGCCGTCTCCTTGTACCGCATGTCCGCCTGGTACCCTGCGCACGCATGGGGTGTAAAGGCACGGAGGCAGCTGGGGAGAGCGCGGGAAGCCCAGACCAACGGCGCCAGCGGGGCGCCCTTGGTCGCCACCACAAGCGCCCACGTGGCAACGCCCACCACACGACGGCCTCCCGCCACACAACGGCCACACGCCACCGCCGCCGCCGCCGCCGCTGCCCGCCACCCGCCCACCCACCTGCCGCCGTGGTCTTGATGTCCTCTGGCCTCGCCTCCAGGTCCTGCTCCCAGTCCGCCATCCACTTGCGGATCCACTTGGCCACACGGTCCTCCACAGGCATCGCCCGCTCCTTCACAGCCTCCGCCGCCGCCTGGAACGCCTCCATCAGGCGCTGCGGGGCGGGGCGGGAGGGGCGGGGTGGGCAGGGCAGGGCAGGGCAGGGCAGGGCAGGGCAGGGCTTCACGGGTGGGCAAGAAGGCTGGCCACGCCGGCAAGAGCTGGGATGGCTCCCCAGGGAGGGTGTATGCAAGGCCAGCCACGCACACAAGGTGGCTCGCCGGCTGCGGCGCCCCTGCGCGGCACAAGTAATAAGCCCCCCGGGCCCCCACCCACCTGCTGCTCCGGGTCCACCTCTGCCAGCGCCTGCTGGT